GAGTAGAGAGATGTGCCTCTTGGCCACAGGTGCACCTCTCCTTACTTGCAGATTCATGGACACCCCCTTTTTGCCCTCCCCTTGGTAAGGCAAAGCTTAGCATGGAGTTCAAGAAGGTTACAGGGGTGTCCCTTACCACATCCTGGTTTCACTGTAGTCATCTCCTGAGCTCTTCATATGGGCTTTTAAAGAAACAGAAAGGCTGATCATTTTCACTTAGGACATGTGATAATCCTAGAAAGAGAAGTTGCTGTGGCTGCTGCTTCATCATAAATAAAGGCAGAATTCAGCAAATCTTGGCCCCAAGTCTGACCCCAAGTCTTGAGGGCAGATGTGTGTTTATTCACCCTTTCTACAACAAATAGACCTCAACATCTAACCCTCTTTTCTTAAGGGAAAGCTTACGTGGAAGCTTGGCCCGGAAAGTCTGGCTCTGGTCAGCCCAGCAGCCTCCCTCCCTTCCACATGCACCCCCTTCACATGCAGACACCCTTGCACGTAGAGTTGCTAAGTCAAACTGCCGGAGGTGCAGTATAAACACCGCTGCTCTCCGTTATAGAGTTCCCAAGCTCAAAATGCGTTCATGTATTACCCTCTGCTTTTCGTGTATTTGGAGAGAATGCTATAGGGCTGGTAGCCAGTCATAAGAAAGGAGATGGATAGACAAAAGGAACACTCAGCGTGTCAGGGTCTCAGAAGAAGTCTTTGGAAGTGTCCACTTCTGACTGGTCACTGTTGGCTTGGTCCAGGATGAGGTGTCCTTTCATCTCTCTCGTCTCCTACTAGGCAATTAATATGGGTCCTTTGCTCTCATGACACACCACAGCCCTCAGCCTTAGCAGAATTTGGCTTGATGAGTAGCACCTGTGTTGTGTTTCTCTGGCTGGTTACTTAATAGGAGGACCCTTGGTCAGAATCCCACTGCTTTCTGAGTTTCACCCCTAGGTGCTGGTAAATGGGGTTGCTATTGGCCTTTCCTTCTAGGTCATCTCTGCCTCAGTATTAGCCTGAGTTCCGAGGTGAGATGAATGGCCAGCATTAAAGTGGTGATTGGTCTTTCAGGGTTTGAACCTGCGTCAGCCCCGGCTCCCTTGGTCCCTGCCTGGCAGGGCCGCTCCATTGGCACAACCAAGCTTCGCCTGGTGGAGTTCTCAGCTTTTCTTGAACAGCAGCGAGACCCAGACTCGGTGAGTGCGTTCATTGAGGTGGATCTTGAACCCAGAATTTGCTCCTCGTGCTGCTTTCTCTCTTCTCCTTTTCACCTGCTCTCGTGCCTAACACCTTGTGTGAAACAGACCTGGGAAAGAATAGCCAAGCAGCCTTTCAGCCAAATAAAAAGTGCATCCCTACTGACAAATCCATAGCGTTTTAGAACTGAATGTTTATTGCTGCTTTGGACCCCAAACTCCAGGGAATGCTGGAACTGAGAGGAGAGACCTGGAAAGAATCTTGCCTTTAATAAAATTTAAAAAGAAGGTAACATTTAGTGAGCTTTGTCTTGAGGCTGGTATTGTATAAAGCTATTTAATGCATGGTCATATTTTATCCTTAAAAATCCCATGAGGGTAGATGCTGTCTGCTAGATTAGGAAGCAGAGAGGTTCGGTAACTTCCCCAAAGTCACACAGTTAATAACACAAAGATTTGAGATTCAAACTCAGGTCTTTAAAACTCTAAAGTCCAAGTAATATCATGCTATGCTGTCTTTCCAGGTCTATATTTTCTCGAGAGAGAAAAATTGTTAATCTTCTTAAGGAGATTTAAAACAAACAAAAAAAAATGGTCCTTTAGCAATTAAATGTGGAATACAATGCATTATAATATCATAAATAACATTGGCATCTGGACTCTGTCATTTTTCTCCTTTTCCACCTCCCCCACCATATCCAGGACCCATCTTCCCATTGTGTCCCATCCAGGCCCTTCATTTCCCATACATATGTGATCTTCCCTTCTTTCCCACCCAACAAGCCCAACACCCTTTCTTCACACCCACTCCTTGGCTGTGAGTATGAGCCTTGCATCTGTGTGTGGGTGAAGTTGAGGCAGAACTGAAGGAATCATGAGTTTGTCTTTGCGATTCTCACCAACTCCTTTCTGCATTCTCTGTCTCACCCTACCCCACCGTTCTCAAAGACTACCAAAAGTACCTAGATCCCGTGTTCTCTGTGTGTCTGCCTTGCTGTCCTTCTGTTACCAGGAGGAAGTGCCATGAATGAGTCTAACAATCTGTTACAAATAACAGAGTTAATGGAAAATTGGGGTGACCTCTCCTAGGAGTATTTTTGCTTTAGCTCAGTGGGAAGCCTCTGATCGCAGCATGAGAGCACTGTTAACAGAGGAGCTTCACTGACCATCACCAATGTGGAGACTTCACAAACCTGTGTGTGGCCCACTGGTGTCCCTGTGTCCTTGAATAGGGAATTCTGGGAACTGGTGAGTAAATGGGACCTGCTCCAGAATTAGAGCTAAAAATGAGGCCATTGGGCCAATCAGTAAGGAAAGTGAGGATGTTAAGAACAGGAAAGAGATGGCCATTTAAGAAGACCCCTCTTCTCAAGATTTATAAGACGGGAGGTGGTGGTGGGTTAAAATCTCTGTGTGTGAGGGGTATTGAAACAAACAAATAGATTATCTTTGTGATTCTGTGCTTCCTGTTCCCTAAGAGAGATTTTCCTGGAAAGTTGAGATGGTTCTTTGCCTGAAGCTGGGATTTGGCCCAATTGATGTTCTGATTTCCGTAACTCAGCTTAGATAACACCTCACTGTTCACAGAGTTCTTTATCACTGATTATTTCATTCTGTCCTTACAGTGCCCCATGAGGCAGGTTCTGCATTCTCCATTTTACAGATGAAGAAACTAAGACCCAAACACATTTAATGCTTTACTCAGGTTGTTTAGCAAAAGATCCAGGAGCCCACATCTTCTGCTCACATGTACTCTTTTTGTTGTTGTTGTTGAATATTTTATTATGTTTCAGGTGAAAGTTTATATAGCAAATTGAATTCTCATTCAATGGTTCATACACACGTTGTTCCTTGACATTGATTATAGCTCTGCAGTGTGTCAGCACTCTGACCACTTTCACCTTACCTGCCTTGTTTCCACCCATGTAGCTTCCCTGAGCTTCCTAGCCTTTGCATGTTTGTTTCAGGTAAATGTTGGCCATTTGGTCTCAGATAATTGATTGTTTAAAGAAGCAGATTCCTCATGGGTGGTGGTGTTTATTTTATAGGCCAATCTATTATTTGGCTGAAAGGTGATCTCCGGGAGTGGCTTCATTTCTAGGTTAGAAGGGTATCTTAGGGCACTAGTGTTGAGGGTTCCTCTAGTCCAGTAAGTCTGGTGTTTTTTAGGAATCTGAGTTTTGCTTTACATTTTTCTCCAATCTTAATGGGACTTTCTGTTGTGTCCCTGGTCAGAATAGTCAGTAGTGGTTGCTGGGCACCATCTAGTTCCTCTGGTCTCAGGCTAGAAGAGGCTGTGATTTGTTGGGGCCATTGCTCCTGTAGACTTATTTATTCCTTGAGTCTTTGGATTCCTTCACTCTCCTTTGCTCCAGACAAGAAAAAGCTAATAGTTGTATGATAGATAGCCTCTCACAAGCTTCTAAGAACCTAGACGCTCCTCACCGAGCTAGAATGTACAACATTATCTTTATGAACTGATTGATGCCAGTTGACCTAGTTATCCCACAGGACTATGATCCTGAGTCTTCAAATGCAGTAAGTCAATCCCATGAGGTATTTGGATGTCTAGGAAGTATCCTTAACTGTGTCCCCTGTGTGTTTCATTGTATGTGTGTGTGTATGTATATATATATATGAGCAGTACACACAAACTATGTATGTATGTATGTATATATATATGCCCAAGAATATACCTATATATGTTCACTCATGTACTCCTGTGCACCTTCCCACACTCACGTAGCATTACATACCTACCTGTGTAACCACACACGTATTTTTTTGCTTATTATTACTGTTGTTCAAAATTGTATATGTTATGGCATGTGCTGTAGTTATCCTTTATTCAGTATCTTCCTTTACCTTGATCAGGTTGTGCTGACTTAGTCCATATTGTGTATTGCCTTTCCCATCACCAGTATTGACATGTGTCTGCTGTCTAGGAGGTAATTCCCTGGCCCTCTCCCTCCCATCCCTGGTAACCATCAAAGAGCATTGCTTTCTGTGTATATTCATATACTCTTTTCACTATGAAAAAAACAAACTCAGTGCTGTCAAGTTGGGTCCAACTCATAGCAACCCCTCCTTGGGTTTCCGAGGTGGTATTACTACAGAAGTAGATTGCTCAGCCTTCCTTCAGGGGAGTGGCTGGTAGGTTTGAACTGCCTGCCTTCTGGTTAGCAGTCAAGTGCCTTAGGCACTGTGCCACTAGAGCTTCCCTTTTTACTACTAACTCCCAATTCTGAAGATCTCTTTTACATGCAGTCTGAGTATCTCCTGTGTGAGCAAAGCTCTCTATTTTTGCATGTGACCACTTTTTTTAGGAACAGAACTCCAAGGCACTGGGAAGCAAGAGCCCCGGAAAGATAGTCATTTTCCTAGCTGCAAGACTGTGGTGGCCCCTCATTGTTAACCATGTTCTCTAGTCGTGGGCCTGTTAGGGCTCTGAGTGCCCAGTCACCTCTTTTAACATGATGTTCTTAATATTTATTAAGCTTAACATTCTGTAAAAAATTTAATGCTAGGTTCACTCAATCCATTCTTTAAACATTGGCTGAGCACCTACATGTGCCGGCATTGTACAGAAGATGGGTCATAGCACTGCATAGATGGTCAGTCTTTGTCCTTACAGAGTGTCATCTAGTGGGGGAGACAGCACGAAACACATGATCACATGAGAGATGATTGCAGAGTGTGATGCCTCCTGGAAGGAAGAGTACCGAGGGCTATGAGTGATGTGAAGGGACCATGAAGGAATGAACCATTATGTTGAGAGTTGGAGGGCTGGAAAGGGGGAAGATGCTGGAGAACATTCCAGAAGTGACGGACCTGAAATGTGTAAAGCAGTAAATGAAAGTTAATGAATATTTTTATAAAGGCTAGGCCTGCCAATCCCAGGAAAAGTGTCCAGAGATGTATGTTTCATACCCATTTAGAATCACATCCGATGATCTGAATGGTTCATCTGGATGAGAGCTTTTAATCCTTTTTACTAATGAATGAAAAAGCTTAGTTATTAGATAGATATAGATTATATAACCCAATGCTGTCAAGTTGATTCCAACTCATAATTGGACCCTATAGAGTAAAACTGCCTCTAGGGTTTCCAAGGGTGTAATCTTTATGGAAGCAGACTGCCACATATTTCTCCCATGGAGCAGCTGGTGGATTCAAACCACTGATCTGATTATCAGGTGAGCAATTAACTACTATACCACCAGGTATAGGTTACATCTCAAAATATCCTTATAAGTTATATCTCAAAACCAAACTCACTGCCCTTAAGTTGATTCCAACTCATGGTGACCCCTTACACTAAGGATGTAAGTCTTTATGGAAGCAGACCACCCTATCTTTCTTTCACAGAGCAGCTGGTGGGTTCAACCTGATCTTTTGGTTAGCATCTAAGTGCCTTAACCACTATACCACCAGAGCTACTTTATAGTTTATATAGACTCCCAACAGTGATTACAGAGTCCCTGAAATAAAAGGAAGATCTAGTATGCATCACCACCATAGGCCCCTTGAATTTAATTATGGTTTAGGGGATATGAGTTGGGAACTGGGAGAAATTGCAGTTCATTCAACAAATACTTTTTGAGTACCTACTACGTATCGGGCACTATTTCACTGTTGAGGATTCAGCAGTGAAGAAAACAGTTGTTATTTCCATGGATCTTACATCTTAATGGAGAAGACAAGCAAGAACTGCCCAAACAAGTAAACTATACAGTGTGTCAGGTGATGCGGTGCTTATGGGGAATCAGTCCTTCACAATGGAAAGTTACTTGCTCTTTAGTTTAAAAAACTATTATTTCATCAAATAGTAATTCTTTCTGCCTTGTTGCATTATGACATTAAATTATGTCTTAATTCTAATCTCAGTTTTATCAGCTTTTCATATGGATAATGTCAACTAATACTGTATCACTATTGTGAATTTTATCATATCTAACAATCAGTCTCAGTTGTTCATACTGCTGCTGATGTTCCCATGC